GCTTCTCAGAATGTAAAAATTTAAACTTCTAATAGTTAAACTCAAGAAATAATTTCACTATTGGAGAAAAAAGAGGAATTGTTCTGCCATGTGGCTTTTTTTAAGGGACTTGATGTCTGCAGAGAAAAATATCTGACGTAAATAGAGGGTTTAAAAATCTGTGACGTATGTCACTTGGTGGTGCCTCCTTGGATTTCCACTGAGAACTCATAGCAACTTGGTAAATTGAATTAAAATGAAAAGTCTCAAAGTGTATTTGTTTTGCCTCCATACTCACTTTGTAGAAGCCAAGTTAAGTAGCCAGAGGGTTTATTTCTGATAATGAGACTGTCTTTTTCTATTCTTTGACAGCCACGAGCTGTCGCTGGTTTTAGAGGAACAGTACGATATGCATCAATCAATGCTCATAGAAACAGAGTAAGTATCTCATAATCTGTGTCATATACACCTCCTGTAGCTGAAAGCAGTCAGTAATGCAGTTGCAATTGATCTCACCTATTCTTAGGTGTGTCTTTATTACATAGAAATGAAGTTATACATTTTGGGAAAGGATAATATACTTTACAGTAGTCAAGGGAAAAAAATTTTTGTTGTAGAAGCAATAGTGCTTTTAATAATTACATTTGGTGTTCAATTGTATTGTAAGTTTAAGAATTAAAAAGGTGAAATTACCAAGTTTTATAAAATACATAATGTCCAGTTTGTTGTCTTGACATCACACAGTAAAGAAATCTGAATGAACAGCTCCTCCAATTTACGATGTTATTTTAACACACTTCAACTTCTGTTGTGTTTCTCTGTGTCTTCTATGAAAATTTACTTGTGTGTTTCTACTTGAAGTAATTGCTGGATTTAATTATACAAACTTAGTTTGCAGTGTTTATTATATTAATTTTTATATCTAATGATTTAAATCTCCAGATCAGTAAAGAATCTGTGTTCCCTGTTGTCTTAGAGGTATTTGTGAGATGCATTAGAATAATACTTCTTTTTCACAGGAAATGGGTCGGCATGATGACCTCTGGTCCCTGTTCTACATGTTGGTGGAATTTGTGGTTGGGCAACTGCCTTGGAGAAAAATAAAAGATAAGGTAAACCTAGAAGTGAAACCAAAGAGCAGAAGGGAGATTTACTTCTGGATTGCAAGCGAATGCTGTGATAAAGATTCCACAAAGAATCACTGGTTCATCAATTTTTAACATTCAGTTTTCTGGTGTTCGTTCTCATTGCTAGTGCCAGAGTATAAAAAGGCAAACAAGTTTTACAAAATGTTCTAGTCAGAAAGTGGATTGCAATACTAGATTGCGAATGTTGTGAAAGGCAAAAGTAAGTGTATATATACCACTTAGTTAATTCTCCTCTTTTCACTTGAGCACTTTTTGATTTCACCTAGCACACATGTAGAATTTCTTATCTATTTTGATTATTTGTGAAATAGGCATTTCTTTTTTGCTGGTGAACAAAAAGGGAATCAGTCAATATGCAGTAGTGCCTTTAGTCATATATCATAGGCGAGGTATGTGAAGAATCATGTCTAACTAGCCTATGTTTATTTCTTTCAACTTCTTTTGAAATTAGATTGAAACAAGGTTACTCTCTGATGTGGTTTATGCATTGGAAATGACATTGTGGTATATAGGTAGTGTCTCTCTTTTGGTTTTGATTTACTCATCTTACCTTAAACAAGATTTACTAATCTTATGTAATATACTGTGATGACCAAATATACATCAAAAAGTGACTGAACTTCAGATGATGCAACATGATATTTAAAGATTTAAAACATGCTTTCTAGAAGGGTTAGAATGTCTAATGACAGTCCTTGATATCAGGCAGCATTCAAACACACTGGAGAATTAAATGGCTTTTCATCTCAAAGTTTGTACATTATTTTGCATGTGTACTGTGGGCAGTGACAGAATCTCTTATCTTGCTATCTGATGTGGAATGGCTTTCCCCAGTCCTGTTCAGTGTAATGTACTTACCCATCGTTCTGGCCAGTCAGGTTTGGCTGTAAGATACAAGGTGAATATGTTGTAGCAGAGAATGAAGGTATGTTAGTTAATATTTGTTGTGTTATTTACTTGCAGGAGCAAGTGGGCTCCATTAAAGAAAGGTACGAGCACAGACTTATGTTGAAACATCTTCCTCAAGAATTCAACATCTTTCTGGATCACATTGCTAATTTAGATTACTTTACAAAGCCTGATTACCAGGTAAACATTTTTACTATTTTGTCTTTCTGATTTTTTAAAAAAGCAGGATTTTATGCTGTTTCATCTTCAATTTCCTTTTATTTCATTGTGTAGTCTTGGTAGTGATTATGGATTGTGCCACCACTAAGTTATTTTAGTGACTGTCTAGTGCCACTGAAACTTTACAGTTCAAAGATGTAATTTTTTTTCCATTTGGGAAGAGTAAGGTAGTTGGTTTCTAAAAGCAATTGCTTTGCAGTCAGTATTCTGTTAGGATTGGGTGCTAATCCTACTATCATAACCTCGAGTGGGTGCTCCTTAGGTTAAGTTGATCAGATTGTTTTCTCAATGATAGACATTCTGGCAGTTTTCCCAAAATCTGGAGCTCATCACCTGCAGTATATACAGCTAGAGCACAACATGCAGCCTTGGTGGGTTTTTAAGGCTGAAGTATTGCCTACAGAGATCACCAAAAAGCTAGTCATCTTTATTTGTTTAAAAAAAATTGCCTGCTGAAACGGACAGCCTCAGCTTGGTGATAAGGTGATAGATGCCAAGAGGATATATGTCTTATTCACTCACTGTTGACCCATGATTTAACAAACAAATAAAACTCAAAGACTGAACTTTGCTGCTTTCCACATACTGGTATAGAACAAAGAAATGCTCAGAAAAAGCAGAGCGGGAGAGACTGAGAGTTTTTTCATTCTTACAAACTGTGGGAGAAGTTGAACTCATCTAACATCACACCATGACATGTTGTCCCTGTGTGCCTTCCCTCTGGCTTCCAGACACACATTCCTGTCAGCTTCCCTCTTGCGTTACCTGTCTGCCTCTGTGCGTTTGTTCAATTCACCAGCTCAGCAAAACCAGGAGGAGTGATTTTCTGCTGGTGTGCATGTGGGATTGGTTCAATTGAATAAATAAATAATCTTGACAAATTCTGGAATTATAACTTTGATAAGAGTGATTCCTGTGCTTCACTTGGTAAGATTAACAGAGAAATCAAGATATATAAGATTTGAAATAAGAACTGAAAATCTCAAGAGAAAACTCATTTCCTGTTAGTAAGTGAATTTCTCTAAATGTACTGCAAAGTTCTTCTGCACATTTACAAAAAAAAGGCAATTTTTGTACAAAATCTGAATGTTAAAAAAAAAATCATAGTACAGATACAGAAATGGCTAGCATTCTTGAAAAATAAATACCTTGATTTTATTTTTTTCCTTTTCTGTTACAAATTTCCATGGAATTTATCCTATAGTTTACAATTAAGTGACGAAAATTATCAAGGAAGTTTTGGGTGTTTTGTGTGCCAAGTTATAAAGATGGATCAGATTTATTTTTTTTCTTCTGTGGTAAAAAATTACTGATTGCAGAAGTTTTGATGTTGCATAGACAAACCTTGACTGTAGAGTGGTAAACATGTTTTATTTCCATTATATATCCTAAATGATAGAATATATACCCAGACATATTTTTGGAAAACAGTTTTCTGTGGTCTACTTGTATCTAACACAGCACATGCACTCAGGGATTAACATGATACCAGGACAGAGTTCCTCCATTATAGAGGCAGGCCGTTAATTTACAGTCCTTATATTGGTCACGGAACACTTGCAGTTGTGTAGCTGCAGCCTGAGCCTTCCAACACAATGAGGCTGCAGCTCATCTGACACGCTGTCACCAAGTGGTGAGAAAGTGCTTTATTTGCCATGGTTATTTTGGCTCTGGACTCTCTTAACTAGTATTTGTTGTAGCAATGCTCTTCATACCTTTCATAGGTATCATTCTTTGTCTGTATTTATGGTTAAGCACTGAAAAGAACGTACATGGTCAGGATCCCTGCTTTGAAGAGTTTACAGTGTAAAAATTTCATGACATTGGCCCAGAATCCACGTTTGATTTGGCCAAGTCAGATATGTTTCTTTTATTCAGGTATTTATGCACACACTACCTCAGACTCCTGACATCATTAAGCATTTGAATTTGCTATTTGCATTGTAGCAGAAATTGTAGAAAATATTTAAAGGAGAATGACCTTAAAAATTATTTCAGAAAGACTGCTTAAGGTTTGAAAGAAGAGGAGAAGAAAGGAGAGCACGTATGGGATAGAGTGAACTACGGCTTTGTGCAGGTCGCTAGGGTTTCAGAACTGACTGGAAGAGATGGCACACTGAAGGTTCTTTAGAGTAAGGATAAAATGGATATGACCACTTTATACAAGAAAAATTATCTGATCTTCCCATCAGTTTTAAGTTGCCAAAGAGTATGCGTTTCTAAAGGAGGCCAGAGAAAAATTTTCCATGTCCTGGGTTGGAAGAAAGAATCGGCTTTTAGGGAAAAAAAGAAAAAGTTTACTTTTAGAAATGTTACAGACTAAGAGATGATGTAATAGGCACACAGCCTTCCCACCACCTATTAAAATGAGACCACTTACTAAAATGAGAAAAATTTTTTTTTAATGGGGGGAGGAAGGTAGATGCAATTTCTTTCTCTGTCATGGATACAAATTGTTCTAGATGCTTTTTCATAGTATAAAATGAGGATGGAAAACTTCCAGTGTGACATTTCTGTGGGATGAATGTCAGCATTAGATGAGGTAAATGATATGTGATTCTAAATGTCAGAAATGTATGAATTAGCCAATCAGTATCCCTCCCTACATACTACTCATTCATTTCCTTGGTTTCTAATGGACAAAAAAATATATTATTTTATATTCCTCTGCTGGAGAGCCATTGGATGCTATTCTGCAGCAATGCTGTCACGCCTCTGTGTATGTGTGTGTCTTTGTCCTTTTATGGAAGTCTGTGGTGTACCTTTGCCTCTCTATACTGATTAAAACACAAGTGTGTTGTGTGTGCGTTTTCTTATTTTTTTAATAAAACAGAACTTTGCATATCTTGACTTTGAAACTTTGGAAAATGAGAAATGGTTAATATGAAGAACTGTCCTTTTCTGGAAAATTTTTGTCACCCAAAATCTTAAAGAAGAGACCTGTTAAAGTATTAAAGGAGAATATTTCTTAACTATTTGGTCTCTGAGACAAAAATAAAGCTTATTTAACTTTTTTCCTTCATTTTTAGCTTCTCATGTCTGTGTTTGAAAACAGCATGAAAACGTTTGGGGTTATTGAAAGTGATCCTTTTGACTGGGAGAAGAGTGGAACTGATGGCTCTCTGACAACAACAACAACTTCAACCACACCTCAGTTACACACTCGTCTTACTCCAGCTGCAATTGGGTATGTATGCACATTGTGGTCACTTAAAAAGCAGCCACAGAGTACCAAAGGGAAATTATCTCCATAATTTAAGTTCTTTTCTGCAGGATGTTGAATAAATAGAGGAGTGGAAGACTGGGAGCATCTGCAGTATTTCCCTTTTTAGGGTTCCTGTTTATACTATCCTGAAAGTTCAACACTGCAGTCCTAAATTTATAGAAATAAAAAAAATAGAAGCTCAGGAAATTGCTTGTAAATTTGCTAGTCCATCCTTTGCTAAATCATATTTTGTGAAACTAAATGATGCATGCTGAATTTAACTGCGTGGAAGTAAACTCCCTGTTTTTTGTAAGGTTCAAATAAACTACTAGCTTCAATTTCCTTATAACTTTGAAAAAATGAATGTACCTTTTTAGGAAATTTAGAAATAGATTTTGATTATGTTTATAACAATGTTTAATATGGTCTTTGAGACCTTCGGTAATTAAGTTGGATGGGATGTGGTGTTTAATAATATCCATACTCATCTGAGGGGATTGGAGGATATAAGAGGTGTTTATTGGTGAAGATGATGACTGTGTGCCTCTTCTAGGCCTTGAGTAGATCAACTTTTTATCTGCATCATGAAGGTTGTGACATGTGAGTTTTGACAGTGTAGAGAGGCTGAAAACCACCAGAATTTCATGTAGTATGTATTACATTTCCAGCATTTCAGGGTAATTAAAAAAAAAAGGGTAAATGTCACTCAAGATATCAACTGGTGTAATATTGCACAGGTGTACAGTGTGGGCTATTGAACACACTGAAGTGGAGAGGGTTTTTGCATACGATTCAGTCCATTTTCACACTAAGCATCGCATTGGTGGTATTGATATCTTGGCTGCAGTTAATGACTTTGTTGACTGTAAAGGAATGACTTTTGGTTGACCTTCTGACCATTCACTTTTTAGGAATAACATTGCGTCAGTTTCAGATGAGCTAAGCCTTAGCCCTGTTTAGCTCGAAGTCACTGGGACTACAGAACTTTTATTAAGATGTAATGTCTTGTTAGTGTTATGCTTGTGTTATCACTAATTGGATCAAAAAAGCAATTTGATAACAATAGTGATTAAAACTGCATTTAGTTTGCTAAACAGATCTCTCATCCTCACAGAGTATGTTTTGTTATTCTACCAAATTTTGGGGAAAAGGAAACTGTATTATGAAAGTTGCCATTGATTATTTTGAATAGAAAAATATGTGTAGGAGAGTCAGGAGCAACGTTGAGCCTGGACCTGATCTCTAAGAGATTTTCTCAGAAGTTGCTTCGAAAACATTAAAACCCCCAAATTTTAAGTGATTTTATTATTATTTACACCTTCTGTGATGTGCCTCAATTAAAGAAACATAAATTGTGAAAACCAAGAAGTAGGGGTTTTTTTATATTAAATAATTTACAAAATTTAGTTTTCTATAGAAGGGTGCTTTTGCTTGTAATTTTTTCTTTGTCTCTTTCTTTTAATAGAGTAGAAAATAATTCCAAGCAGCATATTAGAGTCTCAAAAAATTATCTTTCTGATTTTTTTTTTTAAACTACTTCTGTAGAATTGCCAATGCCACTCCTATCCCAGGGGATTTGCTGCGAGAAAACACAGATGAAGTGTTTCCTGATGAACAGCTCAGTGATGGAGAGAATGGTATTCCAGTTGGTGTCTCACCAGAGAAACTACCTGGATCCCCTGGGCATCAGCGTCCTCAGGAAAAAGATGTTTGGGAAGAAATGGATGCAAACAGAAACAAAATAAAACTAGGGATCTGTAAGGTACTTAAAAATCTGCTTTGTGAAGACATTCTGAGGGGGACTTCTTACAAGGGCATCTAGTGACAGGACAAGGGGTAATGGGTTTAAATTGAAAGAGGGTAGACTTAGAATGGACATCAGGAAAAAGTTCTTCACAGAGAGGGTGGTGAGACACTGGCACAGGTTGCCCAGAGAAGCTGTGGATGCCCCATCCCTGAAAGTGTTCAAGGCCAGGCTGGATGAGGCTTTGAGCAACCTGGTCTAGTGCAAGGTGTCCCTGCCCATGGCAGGGGGGTTGGAACTAGATGGTCTGCAAAGTCCCTTCCAGCCCAAACCATTCTGTGATCTTCCATTTCCTGTTCTCATAGTGCACGTAAGATGTAATTAATAATGCAGCGTTACCAATACCGACTAGCCAGAATGGTCTAAGAAAACAAGATTTGTAGTAGAGCTAACATGTTTTATGAGAGCAATTTATATATTGGAACAAGCAGACAAGCTTTTGGGCCTTATGTCACATTATCAGGTCTTTATAACGAATACTAGATTGCTGATAATTTGAGATTCTTTGTAGCTTATTCATATTCATGTTCTTCAGACATGACTTTGATTCTTGCTCACTGAATGAAACCAAAGCAAATTTCCAGCATCTTGCATGTGTAGAAGTTAGATACTGAATATAGAGAAACCGGTTTAATGTTATTCTTCAACTGACAAGACTAAGAGCGTGATTGACATTATCCATTTAATTCACTTGGTTTTGTCTTCACAAGACAGGATATCTTTGTACTGATCCAAAGAGGTTCATGGGCTAGTCTTTAAAAGAGAATGCTGCTTAATTTTGTGAAGTGGTTCCTGTCTCTCTTGCTCACAGTCACAGCATTTCATACTTGAACAAATGTAATCCTGTTTCTTGATATAAAAATGTTTTGAACCTGAAGAGGGATCTGCTGCTGAAACGTTCTTTAGCTAGGAGAGCTGTCTAGTTTTGAGGGTATTACTTCTTGTTTACTAGAAAAAAATGTATTGTGGGAAAGGGTAAAGCATGATGCCTATTTCCAAGTGTGCTTATTTTCTTGTGTTTTTTTACCAAAGAGGGAGAAAGGAGATTGCTCTGGTTTAGACAAAGGCATTTTCTATTAGTTATACCTGTTGAAACTAAGGATGATCATGATTTCCCAGGTCTAAATAATTTCCAGATAGTATACAAGATGGAATGTGGTTAGACTAAACCATAGTTCTACATCACAGTAACATCTGCTAGATTTTAGTGTATAACAGTGTTACATGCTCCAGAGAATCAAGAAGATGGCTCGGGAACTAACTTCTCTTTAATAAGAGCACTTGACTATAAAGCAGACTGAAGATGCTACAAAGTGCTGGGTTTCAGGCTATTATTAAGGAAAATTTCAGAGATGGGTATGAAGTATCAGGGTAAATTGAAGTGTATTGCTGGCGTTTTGAGACTCCTGTCCTCAGACTTACCCAGAACTAATGTATTACTAGTATTTTGTCTGTTGTAGGTGTGTGCTGAAGAGCATATCTGAACTACTTTAACTATAGCGTGAACTTAAGGACCATTACAAATACAAATTGACTTCTCCGTGGCTAAAAACCTGGGTGGTATTCACCATGTGGTATTTTCTCTGTCCCACAGCTTCTAGTGAGTTACATTTTTACCTTACTTTTTTCACAGGCTGCCACTGAAGAAGAAAATAGCCATGGGCCAGTGAACGGAATGCTTAATGCACCAAGTCTTGGTTCTCCAATTCGTGTTCGCTCAGAGACCACCCAGCTAGACAGAGATGTCCCACTGGTGCGAAAGTTACGTTCCATTCACAGCTTTGAACTGGAGAAGCGTCTGACGTTAGAGTCCAAGCCAGACGCTGATAAATTTCTTGAGACCTGGTAAAGAAATTATGTTATTTTTATGTTTAGGTCTTTCAGGGTATGTAGTTAAGCTACTATCATCTTTCTTCTACTCTGTGAAAACCAGGAATGGAGCTGAAAAGCTACAGAAAAGTATTTACTGTGTTCATAATATTGCTCAATTAATGGTTTTCACCACTTGGCAGCTTCTTTAAAATAAGATTCATGCTTGTATATAGTTAAAGTCAGACCTTCACACCTGAGAATTCTTTATTTCAAGACCTAGTGGTGTAATCTTGATGTGTATTACCTTTTTCTTCAGTGGGATACTCTTGACAGCCAGTGCAACTCATCCTAAATAAGAATGGTATCAGGTGCTCAGTAGAGGTAACGTGGGATTAGATTACACGACATGAGAAGAACAGTTTACAAGAAGTGGAGTTATGAGGTACAGTTAGAAATCTGTGTGCATGCAGCAGGTTTAGTTATGCCTGAAGGTGTTGCACCAACATAAAAATATCTTAATAGAAAACGGAGATCTTAAAATGGAATTGAAGGTAGAGAAGAGAACCGATTCACTCAATTTGCCTACGTGTAGAAAGAATAATGGGAGAAGGACACAGTGAAATCTGGCTGAAAGGCAGAGGCTGAGTGGGGATGGTAGAAGACGGCCGAGATGCTGACAGTGGCAAAATCCTTCTAAATACATTATAGGGGGGTTAGGAAATTGGATTTCTTTGATGAAGCAAGTTAAGGAAAGCATAAATAAGGAATTGAGCAAAGAAATCAATAACCTTGTTTAAAGCATCTACTAACTGCTGCTGGAGACATCTGTTTCTTCTGTTTGGCATTGAATCTCTACTTTGCAGTATAAATTGAGTACACTGGACATCTGCGGGTAGCCTCACCTTGAGTTGGTATCCATTCACTGTTCTTCCTTCTGGCAATCACATTTACAATACAATACATCACAATTACACTGACAATATGTGCAGATTTCTAAGACCATCCGCCCACTTTTACTTGACATCAGTTATTTGTCTTAAATTGTGAGTCTTTCAACCATTGTAGATTGTTCAAAAATGTGACAACATATTTTTGTATAAATCTAGTTTTCCTCCGCTGAAAAAATCAAGTGTAGCTTACATTATTTAATTAATCCTTAACTAATTCAGATATTAACTTCTTTTCTTAAGTTTGGAGAAGATGCAGAAAGACCTGAATGCTGCAGCAGAGACCCCTGGTGCTGCTGTTCCTCCTCTTTCTCCGGCTCCCGTGACTGCCCGCATGGACCATGTTTGGCACTATGATGAAGAATATCTCCCAGACGCTTCGAAGCCTGTGTCAGCTAGTTCTCCAGAACATGTTGATGGTGGTGTTAGCAATGGATTTGTAGCTGTCAACTTAAGCTCCTGCAGGCAGGAGGTTGATTCTAAGGAATGGGTGATAATAGATAAGGAACGGGACTTGCAGGACTTCAGGACAAATGAGGCTTTAGGACGCAAAACAACTGGAAGTCCCTCAGATGAAGAGCCAGAGGTACTACAAGTTCTAGAGGAGACCCCTCCAGGAGAGCAGCCCAGACAGGGTGGATGGGCAGGAAACAGTGTCCGTGCCAAGAACCAAACCTCAGCGGTGGAGTTTGTTCTAGCCATGGAGTGTCATCCTGCTGCTTCTGAACAGTTTACAGATAAATTGGAACTTCTGTCCGGAGCTGCTGGACAGCTGCTTGCAGCCACCCCGACAAGTCCTATGGAAGCCCAAGCAGAAGGAGCACTCACTCCGGTAAGAGAAATGGTCTCTGTTTTATTGAACTTCTTTTTATTCAGAATTATATGAGGAGATAGTAGGGGAAAAGGCACTGACTAAACTACAGTGGTGTACCAGAAATTCCTACCTTCATAATATATGGGACTTGATTCTTGAGGAATGATCTTCCATGTTCTGCTTGATGATTGTTTACATTCTCCCATGGAAGTGGCAATTAGTTATGCAGATCCACAGAACTGCCCTCAATTCAAACAAATAAATAAATAAATGTTAAAAGACGCTCCTTATGCAGTGATTCCTAATCAGTGAGACATATACATGCAAGTATATATTTATTATATTTGCAGTACATAAACATAAAATTACAATGAATATGTAAAATACTGTGCTACAATATTTCATGCGTTTCAGGAAAATCCTAAATACCTGAAATTAAAGAAACAGAATTACTTGATCACACTGCCATTGGAGTAGTTTTTTCTTTTGGAATTCCCTTTGTTTCTTCCTGTTTCTTTTGAAATTTCTAATGGTTCTTATACAAACAACTTGTTGGCTATTATAGATTGTTGGTACTTCTCATTTCCAAGATAATTTTGCAACTACTGCTTTGCTCCCACAGTTTTCTCTTTACTAAGACAGATTGCTTTGCTTCAATTGTATCCTCTTCTTTTTGTGTTTATTTTTTCTAAAGAATTGTCATCTGTGCAGGTGTTGAACATTTACTTTTTTTACCTCCTCTGTCACTGATTGTAAACAAAGACTTCTTTGGCTTCACTTAAGGAGGAAGTGAGATTAATGGTTAAACGATTGGGAATCAGCTCCTGCTTTTATTTCTCCCCTTTTCTCAGTAGGTACTCTGTCATCTGTGATATAAAGGACAATGCTTTCAAGCTCCCCTGAGCCAAGAAACCTGGCTGTACTTCTCCCTCACTTATAAATACTTTTTATGAAAGGTACAGGCAGGCAGCTCATTAGAAAAAGAAAGTTGTCACCAACTATTCATTTCTTAAAAGGTGTGGAATAATATCCTTTATGGTGAAAATGAACTACTCAATGTAATTAACTATAGCTGTATAGTAAAATTGCAAGTACACCTAGGTTCTCATGGAAAATGTAAGATTGTATCTTTCATAAAAGGGTATATTTAGATATCCTACTTTGTGCATTATGTACTTTGTAGAAGATTCATTTTGCATGATTCAAAATACAGACCTGTGTTAAACAACAGAAGATTTTTGAGATTTAAGTTGAAATCAGTTGCATGAAAGAGTTTTTGATGGGTTAGAAACTTGTAAAGGTGAAAAAGTAATTTAAATTGCTCAGTTCTTTTCAGTTGTTCAATTTTAGTATTTTAATATTATTTTTATTAAAACAAACAAGAAAGACCAACACTTAGTCCTGTATAAAATACTAATTATCAGGTGGTTCTATTTTGAAAGCCATTAAAAAAACAACTTGCAATTTTATATGCAAATGCATTATCCCACTTTATACAAACTTGGCTCTTTTGGGGGAAATAGCCATTTTATTTAAAACTTAAAGTAAAGGTGAAATAAATATCATGTAGTACGGTGCAATTAATGGACAATGTCGTTATCTGGAAAGGAAGCAGAAATATTACAAACAAGGCTAATTGATATATTGGAATAAGTACTGGTTGAAGTAGAGACTGGAGTGAGATTATATTTTAGTTTCATTTTGCATGCAGGTAAGGGATATTTGTCATGATCTCGAAAAGGGGGGAAATTAATGTGTTCATATTATGCTGGAAGGGCAAGTAGTGCTATATGAGGGCAAGATGAATGGCAGGAAGGAACTTGCTGTTTTGAAGGTGAATCACGTAGAATTGAAAATATCAACTGAACTGGGAATAAAGAAAATAGAAATTTTTTGGCAGATTTAGATTTTAGTCTTCCATCTACTTCATTAGCTCTTGAAAGCCAAACAAAAGCCCAGGAGGATACAGAATCACAGAATCACTAGGTTGGGAAAGACCT